TATATATATATATATATATATCAGGTAAGGTCATTTTATTCTGGCTTGCATGGTTCATCTTTCTTCATTCAATTATGTTTTGCTGTTTTGTTTTGATCCAGTGTCTTATGACTGATATTTAATACGATCTGATCCTGAAGAGTACTCAGGGAACATTCAAAGGACGAGAAATTCTGGTTTAGCAGTCCTTCTGTGGTTTAAAAAAATATCATTCTCTATCAGTGAGGTAAAATGATATGTGATATGTACTTTCTGTGTTCCAATACCATAGCTATAACTAACTAGTAAGATCATTCTCGCCTTCTTTCTAATTTTATTCATTTAGATAAATTTCTATTTCGTTTGTTTAATTTTATAAGCCTGTAATTGTGTTTTCAAGATACTCATTAGTTACACATAAATAATCTGTTCGACACAAAAAGAGTTAGTTGAGAAAGCTTGTTTGTTTGAATTTATGCACAAAGCTACACAATGGGCTATCTGTGCTCTGCCCACCACGGGTATCGAAACCCGGTTTCTAGCGTTGAAAGTCCACAGACATACCGCTGTGCCACTGGGGGGGGGGACGTTGAGAAAGCAACTGAGAGTGTATTTATTAATTGGACAGTACTCAAGAGTCCTTTATTTCTTCTTCTTCTTCTGTCCACCAGTGGCACAGCGGTACGTCTACGGACTTACAATGCTAGAAACCGGGTTTCGATACCCGTAGTAGACAAAGAACAGATAGCCCATTGTGTAGCTTTGGGCTTAATTACAACCAACCAAGAAATCTTCTTATTATACCAAGTAAAAACACACACACACACACACAGATATATATATATATATAAAGAAAAGAATGTATATTATCCACGGACGTTATCAAAAGATCTTTCAATGCAAAGTGATTAAATCAAGTACTGATTTGACGTCAGCTGTAAAGTCTGAGTATAAGTTATCTGAAAAGATATTAAGTCGTTTGTATAACTACATGCGCGTAAATATTTTACTTTGACATCCTGTAACCAGTAATGTCATTTTGTATTTTAACCAGAATGGCACCTTATGAGACACACGGTTTTTAACTGAATAGTGAGAATAATTATCAAGTTAACTTGGCTAAAAGTGCTGAATTTGTTAAGTGTTCATATTGCAGTTGGAACCATGAACCCTTAGATACGCAGCCCAGTACGCTAACCTCTAGACCACACCCGGCCTGTCTGTATAAATCATGAATGTATTCGCTTATGATGCTTGTATTTATTTCATCATGTGGTATATAAACGGAAGTCCATAAATATTGGTAATATGTAAACAAAATGTTAATAGGTTAACGTTATACATAAAAATTATACGAAAATCAATAAAAAAACAAACAGCCAATGATGCGTTTGTACCAATCCTTCATCTTTTGTTTGTTAATAACCTAGTAATTTTATGTTGTTTTACAGAGAAACTAATTTGTTTTAAAATGTATTTTTTAGTAAAAAATGTGTAGGGAGTCACTTCTGTTGTCCTTTATATAAAAAATATACCTTATTTTCGTATTTTTTGAGCAGCTAAGAATCAGTGGAAGTTTTAAAGACAATTTTCGAGTTTTAATAATTTTGTATGTACATATGAAAACAAGTGTTGCATTTGTAGTTTGTTGTAAATTTCATTTTAAGTAAAAACACAGACATATCGGATTTTACGAAGTATCTGACTTAGTTAAAATGCTTGAAAACTTGTATAAACCATACTATACACTGTTTCTTGTTTAAAATTTACATTAAATTTTAAAATTTTGTGTTCATATGTCAACAAAAGTAAGTAATATTATTCGGAGTTATAAATGTCGTAAATAATTCTAATATGTATTTAGTTGTATAAAATTAAACGGTTCTTATATTTATGAACATTTCTTGAAATGCACGAATAATTAAGTCAAAACAAGTTAAGAACACTGCAAGTATATTTGTTTTTTCAATGCAACATTTACGTGTACTTTATTTCATAAAATCATATACATAACCACAAATATACATTTTATGATAACGAACTAGAATCACAGCGACAAATAGAGCAACAGGCGGAAACTGTACCCAAGCAAAATACATCACACGAACGAGGCAATATACACACTTAGATCACAAAGAAACTCAGTTATAAAGCAGGCAGAATATTCAATTCAACTTGTTGTAATAAAAGGATTGTTGAAATAAACTGTGTGGATTGCATTTCCAGCTAATAACCAAAAGCATTTGCACCCAAATATTTTTAACGACCTCAAGTAAAAGTGTTAAAAGACAAGATTGACAATGTATACAACAACTACCCCAAACGTCTACGTTGAAGTTTTATTTGATTTATAGATGGACAACTAATTCACATAAACGAGCTAATCACCGTAAAAACCTGATCACCCCTACACAAGCACCACAACTGAAGACAAACAAAAAGCACTACACAGTAATAAGATATACCTGAACATATATATTCTTCTTTATATATATATATATATATTTATTTATTTGTTTTGTTTTAACTAGAAATTCTGAACAAGGATTAGACCAATGCAAGCTGTAAGGTCGAAACTTGATAAATAAAAAAATATATTTATCCTGCCAAGTCTTGTATAAAATGAATTTGAATTTGCTGTAACAATTTGATATGAATAAGTTAGCTATAGGAAAAGGATATTTATTTTTAAGTTTCAGAATTCCTACCTAGAACATTTAAAGTTAATTGTTCCGTTGTCGTGCCTTTTCGAAACTTTTTAAAAGCATAAATGGCAATTTATTGTTCAACGAAAATAGCCGTCGGATGCCACACGTAGTTTGCTAACTTTGCTGGTGACACGGGAGCATATTTAGCAGCTGCAAAAAGTTCTTTGGCTGAGATGGGTTTTGAAAGAGTGTCAGCTTTAGAATGAGGGTGAGCAACAGCTGCGGCAACCTCTGGCAGTGAATATACTGTAACATCAGCAGGGTTATCTCCTGGTTTGACACCAGGCTCATTGCTCTTTACAGATGCTACAAAGCCTTCACCATTAGCTGAGTAATCAACGGTTCTCTGATGTCCGCTTGCATGATGGAGACTGTAAGATCCCTTTATTTTGGCACCAGCATCTC